GAACGACCCAGATTTATATCTGGCCAAGGACTGTCACTCCAGCAACACTCCCCAAAAAGTCTTTGGGGAATTTGTATGCTGCTACAACAACAACAAGAAGAAGACAAATAATTTCATTTTGCAAACTGTGCGAAGGTCCATCAAACCCGCTCTCTATCTGTGGGGCAAGGGGTTTTTAGTATGTGTCTATCGTAGGGTCTCGTTCCAATTTTTTTTTAGCATTTCTTACTTTTATTGTATTTATTAGCTATCAAGAAATATTATTGACATAAAGCTGAGGCAGTTGCTCATTTTCGTCGGATTCATGCTTTAATCTTTATATAGTACTAGTAGTAAGAGGTACGTCATCTAACTACATATTTAGCTTATTTGTAAAAATTTAACTTCAGCTCTAAATAAACCCGAAAACAGCTTTGTTAAAAAATTCAATACTTCTGCTAAAATTTTTAGAATTTTTTTCTTTTTCTTTATATTTCGTACTTTTTTGTTGTGTAACTCAACCAAAAAAAAAACCAATCACAGTTAAAAGATGACGAACAAAGTTATGCGACATTGACGCACTTTGGCGCGTTCGCTTAACGGAAATCCAACGTCAACAATGGGATCCTCCGCTTTCGAACCAGACCGTGCCGGCATTTGAGCTTTTCGAGGTGTTTAGCACTTGCCAAACTGTTATTTTTTTCTTCTACTTGCTTTCCGTTTGCATTGGTTACAAGCTGACTGACTGTTTTATGACCGGAACTTAGGCCACGCTTTCGAATATGCAACAAAAAATGTTGTCGTCAATGACAGCAACAAAAGTCAGTACTAAGCAAACAATGACACTGGCAAGCCTGTACTACGTACATACATGCATACATATGTATGTACCAATAAACGCATGACGACTGAGCGACATAACATCGACTCATCCACCAAGCAAAAGTTCTACACTTGTTGAGCTATTTGTGCGACGTTTCATTTTCATTTTGAACTTTGTTGCAGATGGAAGCACAGGCGCAGCAACAATTGCATCAACAGCAACAGCAACAACATCAACATTTGTTGGCGAACATTAAAACGGAAAAGAATAGTGGTGAGCCTCAAGTGCCAACAGCATCAACGCCAACACTCCAACAACAACAGCAATCGGGAACACCGCCTCTTGAGGAGAATCAGCAAACTGCACAGGATTTACACCTTACACAAACTGCAGCGAAAACACAGCATCAACAACAACAATCGCAAATTTCTAGTCAATCAAAATCACATACGCCAAGTCAACAGCAAGAGTCACAACAACACCAACAACAGCAGCAGCAGCAGGTCCAACAGTCCCCCACATCTGTTAGCACATCAGTGGCCTCCATCGCTGTCACAGCTCAATCACAATCCAGTGAAGACTATAGCATACCGTTGCCGCGCCACACCCAACAGCGACGAATATTGACCACAGCGGGGACATTGTGAGTATGAATTATTAAAAAAATAAATAAAATAAAAAATAGGCAGTGAGTTTTTCCGCGAGGTGGTTCTTGAAATGGAACTTTTTTGCGCTAGGTTGGCTGTAAATCCAAACTCCGGTGAAATGAAAAAGCAACGATTAATTTTATGATATAAGTTAAGATTAAGATTATGATTAGGATTAAGACTATGATGAAAATTAAGACTAAAATTAATATTAAGATTAAGTTAAGGATTAAGTTTTCAATTAAGATTAAGATCAACATTCTAATTATGATTAAGATTAAGATTTCAATAAAGATTAAGATTATGTTCAGGATTATGATGAAGATTAGGATTAAGATTATGAATAAAATTAAGATTAAGAATAAGATTAAGATTAAGATTGAGACAAAGAAAAAATCACCAAAGTTTTTAAAAAAATCCCGAAAAAATACGAATAATTTGGAAAAGTCTCTAAAAAATCCCAAAAAATCCGAAGAAAACCTTGTAAAACTTATAAGAATCGTAAGTCAAACGGATTTAATAACATGCAATATTTCACTTTATTTCTGCAGTCGTAAATACGCTCATCAAAAGATTGAAGCGGGATTTTCTCATATTTCATATATATATATANGAAAAATTCCAAAAAATCCGAAGAAAACCTTGTAAAACTTATAAGAATCGTAAGTTAAACGGATTTAATAACATGCAATATTTCACTTTATATCTGCAGTCGTAAATACACTCATCAAAAGATTGAAGCGGGATTTTCTCATATTTCATATATATATATATATATTTCATATTAGTTAAAAGACAACAGCTTATTTTTGCTACTCACTTCTTTTCCATTTTTCTTTAATTAATATTTCATGTTTCTTTTATCATTTCTTTCCAATCGACAGAGAGGTCNTTCCAACAACTTATTTTTGCTACTCACTTCTTTTCCATTTTTCTTTAATTAATATTTCATGTTTCTTTTATCATTTCTTTCCAATCGACAGAGAGGTCAACGATAGTCGTGAGGGTGAACAGCCCGACTCTCAGTCCGAATATCACCATCATCAGTCGCCGGCCGATTATGTGGTGATGGCGCCACGCAATGAGGAACACCCACCACCAGGCACCGCTGTCTACACGTACGCAACTACCGAAAATGGTCAACAAATAATTTGCACTGAAACCGGTGCAGCTATCAAGCTCGAGGATATCGAAAAGGATCAGCAAGCCAGCGCGGAGGCACATCAGCACCATCAGCAACAATTGCAGCATCATCAACAACTATGTCCGCCACCTGGCAGCGGTTACGGTGAAACGATAGTAGTGTCTGCTGCTGCCTTGCACCAGCATCAGAACTCGCACGGTGTCATCAATGCGTCCACACATGGCGGACATCCGGGTACGGCATTGCGCTTCGAACATGATGGCCGCTACAGTAGTGTGCTGCAGGATAATGGCAGCGGACAGACGATCTACTACGATGCCACAGTGGTGGATTCGTCAGCGCATCCCAACGAGACGAAAACCTTTACGGACCTTGGCAATTCGGAGTACTATGCCGGCCCGCCATCGTACGCGTTGCCGCCGCCCAACAACTCAATTTACAGTGTATCAGGTCCCACCCAGCTGATTTGCAAATCGGATCCAAATTTGGGCGCCATACGGCAACCGGGACAATTTCAGTCCTTGCTCGAGCCAGGCATGCAGGAGCAGTCGATATGGGCGCCATCAAATGTGGAATTCTCGGGATATGTAAGTATGCATAACTTATGTATAAGCAGGTGTAGCTACACCTCGTCAACGCCACTATCTCAGCTATGCAATTGGCCTAACATATTTCACTCGTTACTCGCGCCTAAAATCAAAATTCCCTGCCATTTTTTACTCCCCTCTAATGGAAATCTTATAGAATACCTATCATCATCAGGTAGTTGATGACTACGGCACCGGCAATATGACAACGACGCACTGGGCGAGCGCAGCACCAATTACCGCTTACGAGGCACCGTTGGCATCGACCCTCTATGAGTCGCCCAAATGTGAGAACTGCGGCGCCCACTACATACGCAAAGGTAACGACTTCTACTGTCCCACTGGCTGTAATCAACTGCGACCGACGCATATGCGCATACCGGTGCGTCAAGCGAAACCGAAAGCGCCCGCCAATGCGAACAATCGACGCACAGGCGTCACCTGCGCCAACTGCAATACCACTACGACGACGCTATGGCGACGCAACAACGAAGGCAATCCCGTATGTAACGCTTGTGGGCTCTACTTTAAGCTACACAACACCAACCGCCCGCAATCAATGAAGAAGGATGGCATACAGAAGCGCAAGCGTAAGCCAAAGAACAATGGCGGCATGACGACCATGAAGCCGCTGCCATGTAAGTATGCGCTACATAGGCGCTAACAATTACATTTCACTGCCCAACAACGCTCGCTCACTCACTCAAAGTAAATGATTTTTCACACACAGCACTACCAGGCATGCCGCAAAATATGGCGTTGATGACTCCGAACGGCACAATCTACTCCCTCACAAGTGTCCGCTTTGAGTTTGCCCATGAACGGTGGTGTAGGTGGTGCAGGTGATGGTGGTGGTACCAGCGGTGGTGTGGTTGGATCGCAATCTGTAACTGGTGAGCTGCACGACATGTCCATGAGTGGTAGTAGCGCTGCAGGCGCAGGAGCTGGCTCAATATCTGTAGGCACTGTGGTGGTGGCCAGTGGCGCGGGCAGTCTCGGTCACCAGCACCGGGCCACGCAGCGTACCGATTGTACATCATGTGACCGGCGACAGTCACTCACCCTACAGCAATCCCACCATCGCAAAGTCAATCACCGCATTTGTCCAACCCATCGCCGCTTAGTCGACAATCAATTGCACAGAGGTGAGTGTGGTAAATGGGATTTTGAAGGAAATTATGATAGTTATTTGGATTTCTTAATGCTTTCAGTGTACAATCGATTGAAGCGGCCACACGACCCACGGCAAATAGTGAAATGCCGACTAGTGTCATAACGCGCACTGGACTACCAGAACGTTCCTCGAATAACTAAGAGGCCCTATAACCCCCCTCGCCTCTTATGCAAAAATTTTACTCAACTTGCAAATTGAGTCAGGCAGCTTGATTAGACCAAAGCTTATAGAAATATACTTATGTATTTTATTTATGAATATACAACGTAAAATGTCATGAATAATGCCGCTTTCACAGTGGCGTGTTAACTCACATTCGGAAATGAAGTACAATAACTGAAAGTTTCCGGCCGAATATGCGTTAATCCACCACTGTTGAAACGGTCCTTAGTAGGGTGATCCTTAAAATATTAACATCTAAATTTTGAATGGGGCACCAATTTGTTTTGTATTTTGTTCTACGGCTAAAGTAAACTTCCACAATTATTTCAAAATTTTAAACGCATTTTAGGAGTCGCTGGCAGGTTTTAAAAAATTTTTTTTTTTTNTTAATTGCAAAAATTTTACAAAAATTTTAATTAAATCATATACATTCTTCAACTTGCTGAGTTTTAGCTGGTCAAAATCAAAATTTTGTGAAATTTTAGATTAAAAAAAAATTTAATTGTTTCAAACCCTGGTAGCGCCCCTAAAATTGTTTCAAAATTTAGAACAAAATAAGTTGACGCCACATGATGTTGATATTTTAAAGTCCACCCTAGTCCTTAGTGTTATGTAATACATATTTTGATTTTTAGTCTTAGGTTTAAATTGAAAAAAGTTGGTTGAAATTCAGTATAAAATATCAATGCCATAAAATTTGCTTGCCTCTAACTTTAAAAGACAATTAGTGTGTATTTAAGTGCCAAAAAGTGTGTTGCTCATATGTAAGTATGTCCTAAAAAAAAAATAGCATTTCGTATACTATGTAGAATATATGCATGTACATTAGACTGCATCATCAAAAAAAAGTTGCGGTTTTTCCGCCGGGATTACTAAATTTATTATATTTTAAGACGTCCACCAAAATATTTCGGAAAAATATTAAGATTTAAGTGAGCTTACCATACCTCCAAAAATGTAGTTTTTTTATGAATAAAAATAGTTTCTTAAAGAACTTTTTGAAAAAAGCCCCCTCAGATGACAAAACAGATTAAGCTTAAAAAATCTGCATACAAATATTTAAAAATCTTTTAAACGGAATCGTAAGAATGAGATTTTTGATGCTGTTTTTTTACTTTTTTCAAATATTGATTTAGGATAAACTTGAATAACGGGGCCAAAACTATTCTGATTTAGCCTTATGGGATCTCAGTTGAAAGGTATTTACACACTGTTTTTATTTCGGTCCAAAAAAAAGTCATTCTGTGTCCCAATATTTTTTTCAAATACCAACACATCTTAATTCAACTTTGAATGACGTTCCTTTATCCTATCTTCTCTTTCATCCTTTGAGATGAGTTTATTAGCAAAGAAATAAAAAGGCAGAGAAATACCTTTCAAATGACACCTCCTAAGTCTAAATCAGAAGAGTTTAGGTTCAGTTATTCAAGTTTTTGTTATACCAATCTTAAAAAAAAAGTTAAAAAACAGCATAAAAATCTCATCATTACGATTCCGATTAATATTTTTCCGAAATATTTTGGTGGACGTCTTAAAATATAATAGATTTTATAATTCCAATGGAAAAATAGTAGCGATTTTTTTTGTATGGGGAGTGATGCAGTCTAATGTACATATATATATCTGGGACGTCTGATATAAAAACGATAACTACATTTTTCATATTTTGAGTTGTGTTCACTAAACCAATAATTTAAATCGAAAGGATGCTTTATAAGGTGCCAAAACTAGATTCCTTAAAGTTTGAATACTTCATAAAAATTATGAAGATCTTCTCTTTTCTATTTAAAAAGGGAAGTGAAGTTATCATTATTAAATCTGACGTTACAGAAATATATGTATGTACATACATTCATATCTACATATGTTATCGCTTAAAATTACTTATTTAAATTCGTTTTGTAAATTACTTATACATAAATAGTTATTTTTATTTAGATAGTACTATATAAATACTTATTTTGAAAGAAATCTGTGGAGTTTTATTTAATTTAAAATGGAAAGAGTAGCACTCTTAGGTAGATAAATAAATTTATGAGTGAAAACCATTACTGATGAAGCGTAACTGGGAAACATTAGATAACTGTTTATGCCAATTGATCGGATTTTTGGAGAGAATTAAAAACTGATTTTCTAATATATATTTTTTTTGCTAACGACAAATTTTGATCAATAATTTTAAACTCTAAACTGTTTTTAGTAATTTAAATAGAGACATATTTTTGGACATAAAATTTAAATTTTTTTCAACAAGACAAGAATTGCTGGTAATTTAAAATTAGAACTACATTTTGGTGTTTTAAAAGCTGGATATAAATTTTTGACCATTTAAGAGCTAGATATAAATTTTTAATAAACGGTTACTCATGTTTTTAGTAAATTTTTTTGATAACAAACTTTTGGTAAATAATATGTAACTGTATATTTTTTTAATTCAAGTACGACATATGATTTTTTCATTTAGAAGCTGGACATCAAATTTTGGTTTCTTAAAACTGGACTTAAATTTATGGTAGTCCAAAACATAACATAAATTTGAGTCTTTTTTAAACTGGACATAAATTTATGTTCATTTAAGAACTAGGCAAAAATTGTCAATGGCATAAAAACTGTACTTTCTGGTATGTGTTTTTTTCTTTGGTTACAACAAACTTTGGTTAATCATTTTAAACTCCAAAAATGTTTTTAGTAAATAATTTAAGAACAAGATATGTCTTTGCACATTAATTTTTGGTTTTTTAAAACAGTTAATGAATTTCAGTTAATTGACAAATATAGATTAATTTTTGGCCATTTAAAAACCGGGCACATGTTTATGGTCATTTAAGAACTAAACATACGTTTTCTATAATATTAAAACCGAGCTTTCTAGTGAATTTTTTGGTAACGTAAAGTACGAGACATGGTTTCACCATTTAAAAGATGGACATAAATTATTGGTTTTTAAAAACTGGACATAAATTTATTGTAGTCTAAAAAGGGTCATAAATTGGGGTTTTTAAAACTGAACATAAATTTATGGTGATATAATAAATAGACATACATTGTCGGTAATGTCAAAACTGGCCTTTGCGACAACAAAAAAATTAAATTTTTTGTAAATTTTGAAATGTGTAAATACTTCAGGTAATTTAAAAAACTAGACATTGGTCTTTCAAAAGAAAGACATACATTTTTGATTCATTCAAAAAATGAACATGAATTTATGGTAGTTTAGAAACCGAACGTAAATTTTTGGTAATATTAAAACTGTACATTAATTTATGGTAGTTTGAAAAACGGACATGGAATTTTTTTCCGTTCAACAAATGGTCATTTAGAAAAATTTGGTTACACATGGACCGTAATTTAAAAGCTGCGTATACCTAATTATTTTCTTTATTATTTAAAAACTATGCAGAAATTTATGGTTATTTAAAAACTGGGGCNATAATAAATAGACATACATTGTCGGTAATGTCAAAACTGGCCTTTGCGACAACAAAAAAATTAAATTTTTTGTAAATTTTGAAATGTGTAAATACTTCAGGTAATTTAAAAAACTAGGCATTGGTCTTTCAAAAGAAAGACATACATTTTTGATTCAATCAAAAAATGAACATGAATTTATGGTAGTTTAGAAACCGAACGTAAATTTTTGGTAATGTTAAAACTGTACATTAATTTATGGTAATTTGAAAAACGGACATGGAATTTTTTTCCGTTCAACAAATGGTCATTTAGAAAAATTTGGTTACACATGGACCGTAATTTAAAAGCTGCGTATACTTAATTATTTTCTTTATTATTTAAAAACTATGCAGAAATTTATGGTTATTTAAAAACTGGGGTTAAATTTTTGTTCATATCAAAAATTTACATTAATTTATGGTATTTTAAAAACGAGATTCCAAGTTATTGGTGATAAAAATATTGGATATTAACAAAAAAGAAAGAACTTTTTTGATATTTAAAATCACGCCATCACTTCATGCTCATTCAAAATCTGAATATAATTTGTACGCAGTTGAAAAGCTTATTATTTGAGGACATGTATAATAGACATAAAGTTTTGGCCATTAGATTAAGGATACATTTTTTGTTCATTTAAAAAATGTGGCATAAATTCTTGGTATTTTCAAAACAAAAAAAAAATCGATTGGTATATAAAATCGCAAGTCTTTAAAAAAGCAGTGAACGGCTGTTGATCAGTAAAAAAGCGTGGGCGCAGAAAACGGAAGAGTAAAAAATTAAGATGCATGCACATCTGATCATTTTTTAATGCCCGATTTTTTACCCCATTCTCATTCAAAATCTGAATATAATTTGTACGCAGTTGAAAAGCTTATTATTTGAGGACATGTATAATAGACATAAAGTTTTGGCCATTAGATTAAGGATACATTTTTTGTTCATTTAAAAAATGTGGCATAAATTCTTGGTATTTTCAAAACAAAAAAAAAATCGATTGGTATATAAAATCGCAAGTCTTTAAAAAAGCAGTGAACGGCTGTTGATCAGTAAAAAAGCGTGGGCGCAGAAAACGGAAGAGTAAAAAATTAAGATGCATGCACATCTGATCATTTTTTAATGCCCGATTTTTTACCCCATTTTACCATTCAGTAATCTTTCAAAAGAGTAAACTTATGTCCACTTGTTATCGTCAATTTTGAATACTTAGTTTTCAAAAAACCCGACATTTTTCTTTAGTTTGCATATGCCCATAAATTTATAGTAAATTTTCAAGACCAAGAAATTATGTCCAGTTTTAAATAAGAGCAATTTAAATCGAATTTATAAGTAGCCAACAAATTATTCCCAGCTTTGCTTTATCTCTCTGTTTGGCACACCAACCGTCTAAGCGATGTGGGCCAAGTACAATAAAGCAGAAAAGGTCATCCTCTTCCAGCGGGATCCGATTGAATAGATTCAGGTATGGAGCGTTTGTGTTCATTCGTATGGTATGACCGCGCCAGCGATACAGCGGCTCCATCTTAATCCGCTGCGCTATGTAATATCGTGGTAAAGCTCTCCATCTTTCCATGTATTGTCCGAATTTTGGCTTAAATTTGAGGGGCGCTGTGGGTTCTCCTTCCGAACTTTATGTTAGAGTGGCAAAGAACTCGGGTATAGTGTCGCCAAGAGATGTGCAGGGCTTTATTTATCCCTCGACCCCAGCATTAACAGCACCACCAATAATGTCAGTCTGGCACGCAAGCGACGAATATTTCTATACTTCTTGAAAATATCCATCGCCTCGGCACTCAAGGGTGGCGGAACTAGGCAAAAGAGGTAATTTGCGAAATTTTTACGGTTACATTCCAGATAAAAAGAAGAACCCTTTCTCCTGCCAGGCAATCCATCTAAAGCATACCGATACCTCGCTGATGTGCGAA